TAACAAAAGTTTCTCAAATTACCGCAAGAATTCGGTGATTTTTTGAACGATCTCATGGTACAAGTTATTATATTTCTACACACTTTGTATCCTTTTATTTGCTGAGGGATATTTAGAATATCCTGGCCACCAAGAACTTTCTATAAGATACCTTATTATCAAACAGCATTGCTGCCTCTTATGTGAACTCCAAAAGATTGAGTCAAGAATAAATCAACATGGGAGAAAAGATTTGCTAACTATTCGTCTGGAGCTTATGTGCATGGTTGCAATGGTTGCAAATGATTTCAGTTTACCACGAGAACGCGTGTAAGTCACATGTCAAAACGGCTATTACTATTTTCAAATTAGACATCTTGATGTAGGTCTGCCACAGAAAGAATATCAAGATTTGAGTGGAGATATGTTCAAGAGGAATGCGTTAAAATTTTGTTGCAACAATGTGGTCGAGAAAACAGAAGAAAAAAAATCTGAATCACAGTTTATGCTTCACAGTTCATTGACTCATTGATCTTTCATCGCTCTCTTCCTTTGATGAATTAGTGATTTGAGGATATGATGTGATCAATTTCTGAAAAGAATCTGATCGAACGTTTATTCTGCAATAATAAATCTTACACCAGTTTCATCAGTGTAGATCAGCAGTTAACACGGCTTGATGTGATCGTTCATGATGGCTTTTTTGAAAATACAAAAGGATAATGCACATGTATTAGGTTTCCCCATAATTTTTGTTTATCGAATTTTACAGCAATATGTCATACATGTGTATGGTGCTGCAATCCTTTCTTGTTCATTAATAGATTTCTAACGGATCCGCAGCAGGATTCTAATGTTTTGCGCGCCGCTACCTCTTTTCGATAGGGAATTTATAAAAAAAATATCAAATTCTGCGTTTTGAAGGCGTCGCAGCTTACCATGCGTGTCTGGAGGACCGGATAGCCTTACCTTACCTACGCATCCCGTCTATGTGCTGTCTGAAAACATAATAGTTTACGTATTTTCCCGAAGCAATCATCGCCACTGATTTACCCGTCAGATTGATCACACTGGAGCAAATGCAGTCGCCCTTCTCGTAATGCATATCAATCTGCTGTTGTACAGCCTCTATAGTGCGTTCAATTTCATATACTCAGACAATTATTGCCACCACCGTTCCCATAGAAGTTTAACCCCTGCTGCAGGTGGAAAATAAATGCACGCTGATCAGTTGAGAACTGCCCGTGGATGCACCGATGAGCGTTCGACACCCGCGAATATCTCGACAAGCTCCCGATAAGCGTCGGTCAAGCGGTGGATATGATCTTGCGGCTCTACTTGCAAACCACTCGATCAACACCCACAGGCCCCCGATAGGCTGCGTTGAATTCAATTGCGGCCCATCCAAAACCCTCATTTTACATACCCTCAGGCAGCACCCAACATTTACACTCCTTCAGGCAATACACTATGTACAACAGCTGTGTATCTGAATTTCATTCCATGTAAGCACAGATCATATTTGCAAATATGTATATAAAACCGCTCATTGCCGCTACGCGACAGGTTCGACTGTACTTGGCAGCTTCGCTGCCTCACACATCTTTTTAGTTACTCGGTACTATGATAATATGGGATTTTTCCAGTAAACTTGCAGTTCGCACGAAATACTTCGGTATATAATCTGTATGGATAGGCAGTTTTGGTTTTGTACTTCTAATTTATTCCAACATTCTAAACGGATAGCAGGTTGGATCAACAGTGGCTGCATGTGTCCGGGTTGCTCTGCGGATTGAATGACGGCACGGTGTAGGAAGTGGACGCAGTCGAAGGAGAACGATAGCTGTGATAGACGTGATTGTATGAACTAAACTATACGCCGGGATAGAAGAGTGTTGGCCTTCAGTAGATCAATATGGTGTCCATGTTTGATCTATTTTACTGATGAACTCAACCGATTGATGAACTCCACTGAAAAAGAGTTAATGCGTAATTATTCATCAGTTAGTCTTCGAGAACTTAACATACAAAAATCGATGGAAATTTAACACACAAAAATCCATGAATCGAAGGAAAAGATCAATCATCATGGTATGTGCCGAACAACATGGCTCATTAACACACAGCCCACCCCTTGCATTGTACCTGCCAAACTTGGTTTGGATTCCATAGATCCTTCTATCCTTTTTCGGCAAATATAAAAATGGCTCCAAAAACTGCAAATAATCAATCGATCGATAGGGGCGAAGCGTGTTTCCCCAAACAAATTGGCTTATTTCCATATAGCCCACCCTATGCATTAGGTCTGCCAAATTTAATGATCATAACTCCTATCCTTTTTGGGCAAAGATAATGTGGCTAAGTGAAATTCTTACTATAATATACATTAGATTCTTTCAATCGCGACGGCAATTCTCTGCGTCGCTCTATCTTTAACCCCATGAACGATGAAGGATCCAGCTTGTGACGGATTCCAGAAAAAACACTGAGAAAATAAAACTGCGCCCATGATGTCGAGAGGAGAGGCCAGTAAGCATATGTCGGCAAGAGATTTTCTCGCAACCGCGGAGCGGATATTTTCAAGTTTGAGCTAGGCGGCTAAGAATTGGCGCTGGGTTTGCGTGCGTATGTTGATTGCGAAACCATTAGATTCTAGAGTTATCGATAACGACTAGACGACTTCTTTTGGAAACATAGCGGCTGGTCTGGTGCGAGGAGAGGTCGGTAGCCATTACGGCTAGAGACTGTTATTGTTTTTGTGCAACGTCGCTCGCCTATGCCATATGAGGAAGTTAGATTATTGATTGTCTCATACGCTGCACATGGTATGCACGTTCATCCATTCCATCTGCTCTTCTGATGTGTTCATTACTGTTAGACACATTCAACTAATCCTTGTTGTTCCGTCCGTTTGAGGGTTTGCAAGAACTCCCACGATTTACGCCGATCATCGGTCGCTATATTTTGACACGCGTTTTCACACACTGTTTCGTTTCACTCTTGTAGCTGTTCGTGTCCGTTATTGCGCTAATTGCGATTTGCAATCATCAAATTGGGGACGAGTGGCGTAGTGGTATGAGGCGCCGCTATGACCAGATCGGACACAGGTTCGATCCCCGCCCCTGGACCAACCGAGCCCTCTATCCTCCGGGGCTGGTAAATTGGTACCAGAGTAATCTGGGAGGATAAAAGCACTGACTTGGAAACTGCTGGCTCCCGCAAGTCATTGTAATAGGTTCGTACGCATACAATTGCCTCTTCGACTATGAAGTTAGTGTGTGCGTTCGGCGCATGCCCCCAGAGGGTGTTGAAGACGCCGAATCCTTTATCCTTTATCCTTTAATCATCAATTTAAAACTTGATTTGAATCACCATCGTAATTGTAATCAAAATAAGCCTCAAAGTTAACTCCAAAACTACATGCATCGCATTCGTCTACCACCAGTACTTTTTCTGCAGCTGATATCAACTAGCTCGCTCTTAATCGCTGAAAGTGCAACAGAAAAACCCAAGGTAGAGGTCCATGAGTATGGTCGCATTGATTTGAATAGAAAATTAGAACTTCGGGTTTCCGTAGTTGTTTTTCTCAACACTAACACTTACTCTTCTCAAAACTACCATGAAATTTGTTCGAAATCAAAGTCCTCGGAGTAAATTCTGCTGTGGCATGTGATATAATGTCGAATCATTTCATATGATTATGTGTGTCACTGCACACACTGCCCACCTTTGGTGTCCCCATCCCGGAATTGCAATCGCAAAAACGCAAGAGATGGACCGATTGTTATCGCTTACATCACTTTGTGAAGATTGGTATCTAAAAGGAGAAAAACATGAAGAAAACATCGAAAATACTTGGCAGAAGGGTTGTCTGTTCCCAGAAACGAGGATGAGGACGCCAAAGATGAAGTGTGCAGTGACACACATGATCATACGAAATGATTCGACTGTATTTAGTTTACGGTTTTGTTATCCTCAGATTAGCGTTTGCTGGCTCGAACTGCGAATGTGTGTGTGAGTTATGCTGTCGCTCTTGCGCTATCAGAAACGCATACTCAATAGAGCTAATCGCAAGTTGCGGTAATCAGAGTGAAAATTTGAGTCAAATCGTCACCGTAACCAAAGCAATCGTAAAGTTAATCCCGCAACTGCACAGCATTGTATTCTACCAATGGCGGAAATGAAGGCTGCTGATGTGCTTAACTTACTAGCGTTGTACCGCCAGCTAGCCCCCGAAAGCTTTTCTGCTATTTGCAGCAGAACGCTTACGTTAATCTACTAACAAGCATATGTTTGACGTATTTAGACTAGAGGAAACGCGAAAACTAACACATATCGTGTGAGTTGCAATTAGTCGTTTTGAATTTTACGAACATTCACATTTACGTTGCACGTATCTCACGATCAGGATGCGACTCGTATGTGTTACTCTGTTCTTCTATGCGATGCTGTACCATATAACCGCTATTCCGTTGCTGCAGCAGTCGATGAACGCCTTGGAAGCAGTTCTAAAATTATGCTAAGTCGTGCGACATCGTTTGCGACGATGCGACTTTGATGTCTTTCTACTGATTTATTTAACAATCTTTTTACAATCGATGCCGATCTCTTCCCTCTTTCCCATCAAAAAAGTGCACTTTATTGTGGTTTTCTTGCGTTATGTACATCAAATTCATACTGCATATATTAGTCCCTATCCAGCGATCACGCTGTGCGGCTGTTTTCATCGATCCCGGTCATGTCTACCCCCACACCGCAACTCCCAAAAAAAAAAGAAAGCCATCGTCCCCCATCGCTGCTAAGGCAATGACCCTCAGGGATCAAGATGCTATTCAACTGCTTGATAGGATCCACTCCATAATCAGCGCTAAAGCACCTGAGGCTGTCCCGCTACTCGAGGAGCTAATAAGTAAGTTACCTATGTTGTCCTCTAAGGTTGTGGAGGCCGAAAAAAGGGAGAGATCGTTAGTTATCTATGGCGTACCCGAACCAGACCCTACGTTACCTGCTCTCAAAAGGCAAGAACATACCGAAAACTTCATTCACGGAATGCTAAACCATTTGAACGTCGAATCTCGCCCCACTGAGATATTCAGAATGGGTAGGGGAAGAGAGGGAAAGCCTAGATTAGTAAAATGCATATTTTCCAGCAAATTTTTTTCCATAGAAATGCTATCCAAGTCTCGCCTCCTCAAAAACAGCCCAGCCTACGAAAACGTTTTTATTCGCAAATCGATGACCTTACAGGAAAGAACACGCGAAAGAGAACTTCGTATTGCCGCACGTGAACTGAACGAGAAAGAAGGTAAGAAGGTTTATGTTGTTTACAAAGGAGAAGTTGTCAACGCCGCTGAGATCCCTTACAGAAGTGGGGCTTCAAAAAACTGAAAGTTCTTGATTCCTTTCCCAGAAATTGTTTTTTGCTAAATGCTAGAAGTCTGAAAAACAAGCTCACTCACCTCCACCAATTTTTATCTATTTATAAACCGGCTCTTTTGCTCATAACTGAATCGTGGCTGAACGCAAACATAACTAATGGTGAAATTTGTGCTGATTTTCCATATGCTCTGCTCAGAAAAGACCGCAAGGCTAAGAGGGGTGGTGGAGTTTGCGCCTTAATCCATCATAGCATTCTTTTCGAGGAAGTCTCTTTCAAGTTGAGGGATCTCGCGGCCGATGTTATTTCCTTTGATTTTATCTTACAATCTTTGACGAGTGCTGATCGATATAGATTTATTTTGATCTATCGACCGCCGCAGAGCAGTGCTAGGCAGGATGACCTTCTTCTCTCTCTGATTTCTGATCTTGTTTCTTCTCACAGAGTCAAGTCTGTATTGGCGGGTGATTTGAATCTTTCGATTGATTGGGCAAATAAAAGTGCCTCCAATGCCACAGGGTATAAATTTTTTCCGCATTTGATGCTTTATGTTTAACGCAATGCGTTGATCTTCCAACGCGGGGAGGGCACATATTGGACGTAGTTTTAACAAATGCTGATTTTTTAACTAGTTTTACCATTCTCTCACCAATGAGTTCGTCCGATCACAACATTGTGGGCTTCTCTATTTCGATGCCTAATCTTGAATGTCAATTCTTGCCATGTTTTGATTTCAAGAGTGCCGATGTGAGCAAAATTGAAAGTTCACTTTCTGCTATCAATTGGTATGAAGTATTCAGAAACTTCATAGATGTCAATGACGTCTACAATCGATTTCTCTATATTGTGCATGACATCATGAAAAGATTTGTCCCGATGAAAACCCAAAAGCATAATGCCACTGTCAAGTACCCTGTGCATATCCTGAATCTTATTGAACAGAGACAAAGAGTGTTTTACAGTACGCCTGATCCCTTGAACTGTGCCCACTACAAAGACATAAGCAAAAAATTAGACCATCACTTAAAAAGATATTTGGCTTACAGGATAAGAAGATTAGCCAATAGCAAGTATATGAAACATATAATTTCCTATATCAGATATAGAACGAAGTGTTCACCTGCCTTACCCGTGCTTTTCGGCGACGATGGGTCAAAATACAGCACAGGTTTTGAGAAAGCTGAAGCTTTTGCAAATTTTTTTGAGAGTACATTCACAAGACAAAACGAATCATTTGTTAACTTGAGTGATTTTACAAAGCAGAGTTTTGAGTTGCCTATCATTACATCAGAAGTTGTTTTCAAATATCTTAAAACGCTCAAGCCATCGCAATCGATTACGTCCGACGGGGTGCCGCAAATATTTTTCAAAATGTTTGCAGCACAGCTTACTTTACCTTTGACACATATCCTCAATATTTCGCTAATGACGGGTGAGATTCCCCTGGCTTGGAAAGCGGCAGTGGTTACGCCGATCCCCAAGAAGGAAAACACTAATCTTATTTCGAATCATCGCCCGATTAGCATACTGCCAGCGCCACTGAAAGTATTAGAGAAGTTCATCAAAAAGAATTTGCTTGAGTGGATTGATACTATCAAACTCATTCCCAATGAACAGTATGGCTTTCTATCAGGCTCGTCTACCTGTACGCAACTGATAGATAGCACTCACCTTTGGAATAAGGCGCTGAGTCAAGGTAAAGGAGTTGACGTGGTTTACTTTGATCTTAGCAAAGCTTTTGATAAGGTCTGCCATGGAAGCCTGTTAGCTAAACTTCACAGTATAGGTATACGTGGTGGCTTGCTTGAATGGTTTCGCTCTTACCTAAGTGGTAGAAAAATGATAGTGCGTTTCTCTCAAGACTTCTCCTTTCCGAGGGAATGTCCTTCTGGAGTACCCCAGGGGGGCATTCTCTCTCCTATACTCTTTCTCTTATATACGTATGACCTTCCCTCTTTTTTGAAAACTGATACAAGAATCTTTGTCCATGCGTATGCTGATGACATCAAGGTCACAGCTATTTATAGTGAGGATGATAAAACTGAAGTTCAAGCTGCGCTTAACGAAGCTGTTCAACGCATGTTTGAATGGACGCGATGATGGCATTTGAATGTGAACTTTCATAAAAGTCATCTTTTTCCTATCGGAAAGGACTGCTTGAAGATCGATAACCACGATCTCGGCACCATGAGTGTTGTTGATGAAGTACGTGACCTTGGCGTTCTAATTTCAAAAGGTCTAAGCTTCAGCAATCATATTGATTCCATTGTAAGGAAAAGCTTGAGGGTGATGCACTGTCTATTCAGAAATATATACAGTAATGATGTGTCTCTTTGGATCAAGCTTTATAAAATGTTCATTTTACCCTTGGTTGAGTATTGCAGTTCTATTTGGTGTCCTTATCTCTCTAAAGATATAGAAAAATTTGAAAGCATACAAAGGACGTTTACCAGAGTACTATACTATCGTGCTTTTCCGGATGAAAATTATCCGCAAAGCCTCCCTTCGTATAGCACCCGTCTGCAAATGCTCAACTTGAAAATTTTGCACTATAGAAGAGTTCAAATGGATTTGATTTTGGCTTTCAAAATATTCAAAGGTGAACTTCGCCTGAAGCCTTCTAATTTTTGGTCATTTCGTCCTGTTTATGGAAGGCGCTCTCTCATTGCTTTTCGCTACCCTAAGCTCCCCACCTCATGTCGGCAACGCAGATTAAGCACATTTACTTTCAGAACAGCTAAATGGATTGAGTGTTTGCCCCCTGCACTTCTACTTCAGAAAAATTCTGCCACTTTCAAAAAAGCCTTGTCCAAGATCGATGTTCTTGAGTTACTTTAGCTACGAGACGTTAAATGATAATATCTACATCCATCCGACCACATTTTACTTCCTTTCTTTCCGATTGCTTCAATGTTATTTTTAGCTCTGTTTTTCCTTTTTGGTTGTCTTTATAAGTTCTAGCACCTTGCCTTTTTTGCCTTTAGTTTCCGCTCAGGTCGTATTAGACCCGTTGAGTCTGCGTGATCACCTTGTTTGGTTGAGACCCGACTACCATATGCGTGTTCTTGCGGGTGGACTAGTAAGCTCTAGGCGGCATACATGAGTTAGTGTAGGCACTCTTTAGTTATCCTCCGTAAGGCTGCTTTCCCTCCCCTGCTCACCAGGATGGTGGTGGCCGGTTGGTGGGGGTGATGCGGAGGTTTGGTGAGCGGGTATGCTGGTGGCCCCCTGCCAGTGTACCCGTCTGGGTATGTCGGCGGGGGCTGCCGGCGTATCCGTTTGCCGAGCTTCTGCTCCCGCTCCCACTGTTTGGCCACTTTCATGTCTGTTGGCTGGCGAGGGTAAGTGGATATACGAATTCTTTAGTCTAGAATTTACACTACTCGGTAGTATGTCCTTTCTGCTTATTTCTGGTCCCACCCATATGTTGTATCTTTATGTGCCGGTCAGAAAAAGATATTCGTTGTTTTTTTTCTGTTTTGTTTTGTGTTTACTACTTCATCTTCATCGCGGCTCTACTTAGTATCCTCATGTTAGCTGTTTTGTCGGATTGATAGCACGCCTAAGTGCGTATGAATAAATAAATAAAAAAAATATCATAACCGACTTTCACTCTGCGAAGGTCCTAATTGTACTCTTCGGTTTTTTAGGAAGTGGAAAGCCAATGTAAAGCCATTTTTTGTATAATAAACCTTGAAGAGCAAAAGAACGTGTGGATACATCCAGTTTCCGTAATATTCTGCGTCATATGTCAGATTTTTGTGTCATGCTGTTGTTTCTTTTTATCGCATTGCACTTACATTTCTCGCTTAGATGTAATAAATTGTTTGCATTTTTCGAGTCACAATTTGGAATGCACATTAAGTGCATGCAACAATGATGAAACGTTTCTAGCAAACGAAACACATGCAACAAAACGAGACAATCACAATTTTACAATAAGCGGACCACGTTGCACCTGTTGCGGGAGTAAATACCAGTATATTACCTGTTTGGTTGCAAATTATCGGAGCTTGCAAGGTTTCTTCATATCTACTGCAAGATAGTCAATATTTGAGAGTAGAACAAAGCTCTTCAAAACCACCTCATGCGGTATGCTATGCTGTGTCTTATTATTCAATTCTCTTCTTATTCTCGGCCTTGACTCATTATAGCACGACAGCTTCTCGTGAATTGTCAACACGGCTCGTTTGCGAAAGGTCGTCCAAACAAATGCTGTACTCCGCCATTCCATCTTTGCCAACTGTACACCAAATTAATTTGTCCTCCGTTTTCGCTCAGCGCTGGATTTTCTCTGTTCACATTCTTACTATAATATAGGGAGGCGTGCAAGTGGTACCCGGGCAGCCGACTGCTGCCGCAGCCAGCCGCCAGGGCTGCCGGCAAAGCAGCTGCAAATGGTACAGTGATTAGCTCGTCGTCCAAAACTCTTGCCGGGAGGTTTCCTCGCACCTGGTCAAGCTGAGGTGCGATATTAGCCTAAGGAAAGCGTGATATCCTCGATAAATCATTTTGAACAGCAAAAAATTTCATGTTTTTGGAGAAACATGCAGGTAAACAAAGGTGAAGAGGATGGTTTTTTAGAGGAAAATAATCACAAAATCAAATCACTTCTAAAACTCAAATGAAGCAGAAGCTAAAAAATTAGGATTTCTCAAATTTCTAATAATTTTTTTTCTCTCTTTTACGTCGAAAAATGGATGAGAACAATTACAGGATAATTTCATGGATACAACGTTAAGAAAACTGTGTCAAAATGGTTATTTCATACCCAGTGATGTTAAGCGAGCTAAAGGCCGAGTAGGTCAATCAAATTGAGTGGGCCAATGATAGCGTAATATCATCAATATTTATATCATTATGAACAGCAGAGAAAAGCCATATTTCATTGAGAACCATATAGTCGAATACAAAACAACACCGAAAAATTTTCAAAAATTCATAAACAATTACAAAAATGAATGAATAGAAAATCAAACAGTTTTTTCTGCTACAAATCATGAAATCAAAGTACAACAAATATCCACTGACGCTGTAGTTTCAAGGATCCTTGTTTTCCAATGAAGAATTCTTAGAAATCGAATTCACTTCAGAGACATCGAGTAAGCTCCACCTTCGGTTGGTGAGAATGTGGTCGATCTCAGCATGAGTCGTTCCGTTGGGCGATTCCCAAGTCCACCGGCGATGAACACTTCTGAATCCGAAATGCGGTTTTGCTGGATTATCAGAGGTGGTTCTATCAATTTTGAACCTTTTATTATTTGCGATGAGTTGTGAACTTCGAAGTTTTTTCATTATTTTTTTTTATTTTCTCAAAAGCAGATGTGACATATCTCCATCTTTTAATAATACTTTTATTTTACTCAATTTTCTCAATTACCTTTGAGTTTTTGAAGTGATTTGAATATGAGATCATTTTCTTTTGAGAAACCTCTTTCCTGTTCACCTTCATTTATTTGCATGTTTCTCAAAAACCATGGATTTTCTGCTGTTCAAAATAGTATAGATATCGAGGATATCACGCTTTCCTTAGGCTGATATCGCACCTCAGCTTGACGAGGTGCGAGAAAACCTCTCGGCAAGAGCTTTAGAGGACGAGCGTAGTTACTATACCATCTGCAGCGGCTACCGGTAGCTCTGGCGGCTGGCTACGGCAGCAGTCGGCTGCGTGGGTACCACTTGCTACGCACCCATAATATACATAGGATCCTTTCAAGCGCGACGGCAGAGTTTTCTGCGTCCGTCCGATCGTTAATCCCATTGACGAAGGAGGGTCCATCTTGCGACGGATTCCAGAAAAAGTAATGTGAAAATATAACGGCGCTCAGTGATGACGAGAGGAGAGTCACTAGCCATTATGTTGCCGAGAGATTTGCGGCGCCATCTAAATCTACTTACAGTTTGCCCCAATCGGGATCAGGCCGAACCGTCGGCGTGGATTCGCGCGCTCGCAGCGCTAGACGTTTGCGCTGCATATGCGCGCTGGCGGAGAGAGCGAGGAGATCGAAGAGGGAGCAGACAAGCAGGCTGTGGGCGTGACCGCGAAACCCTAGCGACGAGAACTCCCGCCATGCCAGTTTTGGCCTGTTTAGGATTGGGGCAGACTGTAACCGGCTGCGCGGGCAGTCGCGCGCGTCCTCACTACGTTTCGGGACCCTACGTCGCAATTGCTCGCACGCTCATGAGCTCTGAGTTGTTCATTCTGCTTGAAGTTTATCAGTATTGGTACACGTAGCTGTTCAGTTAGAGGTGTGTGAGAAGAAACAATGCAGTTGGACATTCGGTACTCAAAAGATTTTCTTTTACATGGTCGATACCTCCACACTAAAGTGATTCTTTTCGTTTATCACTATTCCTCTGGATAGCAGCTGTATCTTTGCTGGATGGCTTCGCTGACTTCCTTCTCTTGCAGGTTCCACAAGTTTTGTCGTGGAATTGGTTCTCTTCATAATGTAGGGGAAGTTTGGACAATATCAATCCTAAAGCTTCCCATTTCTCACTTTGGATTTCAAAGGCCAACACTTAGGCGCTCGTTTGGAGATCTATCATTCTTGTAAATGGAGACATTCAAGAATGTTGTGCAGAGGAAAAACAAGCACATTAGATTTTGATAGGCTTGTGTGGTTCCAGAAACTCTCAGCCGCAGAATAATTACGTTTTATTCTTACTTAACATGATCTTCTTGTGAGAGAAAGTGGAAAGTTAGGCTTTACAATAATGCTCTGCACACTGGTAGATTCATTTTTTTAGTTTTTTTAGTCAAAAGGCTGCCCAAGCTGATCTGATTTTGTACGGCAGGAGCTTAAGTTTACATGGAAAACGTATCTTGACAGTATTCAAGACCAGCAAAGAGACAGTCCCTTTGTCCCAGACAAAGGGCCTCGGAAGGAGAATGATGTTTCTTATAAGCAATATCACACTGACACTATTTCCTTCTAATGCATCGACGTGCAAGCAATGGTTTAAACACAAGCAGTCGCAATATCAAATTCTTATTCGAAATTGTATAAATCTGGTCATATACCGTGTCTCTAGGGAGGTTACAAGCGTCAAAGCGGATTGTATGATGGCACAAATATACCTTGCTCGTTAAGTTTGCGTGCGTATGTTGATTGGGAAACCATTAGATGCTGGAGTTATCGAAAACTTAGACGACTCCTTTTTGGAAATATAGCGGCTGTTCTGGCGCGAGGAGAGGTCAGTAGCCATTACAGCTAAAGACTGTTATTGTTCTGTGCAACGTCGCTCGCCTATGTCATGTGAGGAGGTTAGATTATTGATTGTCTCATACGCTGCACATGGTATGCACGTTCATCCATTTTATCTGCTCTTCTGATGTGTTCATTACTGTTAGACACATTCAACTAATCCTTGTTGTTCCGTCCGTTTGAGGGTTTGCAAGAACTCCCACGATTTACGCCGATCATCGGTCGCTGTATCTTGAAACGCGCTTTCACTTCACTTTCATGCACTGTTTCGTCTCACTTTCGTGTTCGTTATCGAGCTAATTGCAATTTGCAATCATTAAACTGAAACTCAATTTGAATCGTCATCGTAATTATGATCAAAATAAGCCATAAAGTTAACTCCGAAACTACACCTCACCGCATTCTACGTCCACAACCAGTACGATTTTTCTGCAGCCGATATCAATTAGCTCGCTCCTAAACCGCTGAAATTATGATAGACCAAACAAAGATAATGAAGAGGTAGCCCATGGCGTGGATCGGACGGTACAATTGTAGTTTTTGTTACAATTGTCTCATAGTTCTGCGAAACGGATGAGATGTAGGGCTGACTACAAGCACTTTGAAAAAACGAAGACTTCAAGAACATTTTCACTAATGCATGGAAGATGCAGATCGGTAGTGGTACAAGGTGGCTGATGCAAAGGTTTTTGACATCTAATTTGATTATGTCCATAAATTTTGATCATTAGGTTTATCAAAGCTATGATGCAGATACACTTGGGTATATTTCTTTTGTTCACTGAAGAGTTGCATTATCGCGAGATTCGGAGGAAAAAAATGACGCACGTAACGCACTTTTGTTCCATTCAAGTGTCGTAAAACTAGCATTCTAGCGTAACAGAAAAAGGAGAGCTTCAGATTACGAAAACAAATATTTGAAGAAGAGCAGCCGCAGCGAAGTTTTGTAAATATGTCACTCGTTAACACTACAGATACGATTCAAATACCACATGCACTAAGTACCACAAGACTGAAGCCAAAAAGGTTTTGAATCGCCACTAATAAAACTCCATCACTTCTTGCAGAAAAGTACGTTTGAAAAATTTATCATATGTGAAGTTATTTGATTTGTGAACGTCAGTAAGATTGTACTTGCAGAAACAGATTAATATCCGCTGTACTTCCTCATCAAACTCTAGGTGAACGAACGATTTTTTTGTTTTTATTGTTTGAATTTCACGCAGCAAGACAAAAAACGCTCTGTTGGCTTGAAAGATTGGTTTTGATCCTATAGTGTAAAACAAACGCACTTAATGTTTTTCTGCTTAATGGTAAAAAATAACTAGAAATCATTATTTTACAGGCTTTTCCTGAATTCCTCCTTTCGTAAGGCTAACAGCCTGATTTTCCAAATCGAAAATTATTGATCAATATAAATTACAAACAACTTGTGCATTTTTGCACTTTCATGTTTGCAGTATCTCGCATTTGCTCACGACTTTTCGCTGTTTTTATTACGTGACACCTTACCTACTTTTTAGTGACGTTTGCAATAGCAAGGAGATTACTGACCGTCACTGCTGACGAAGTGATGAAAAGGTCCAAGAAATGTCGAAGTGTATAGAACTATTAGCAGAACGTTTTTATAGCTATTACACATGACACAGACTGAAAACGTAGCCAGTTCCTCAAGATTGAATGAATGCAGCCATGTTGTTAAAAACCAAATGGCAAATGGTAAACACGCGATTTAGTCATGAATGAATAATACTCTCCGAAAGCGTAAAGATGAGTCATCAAAAGAATACATTACACATTATAAGTATCATATGCCTTTCAATAAAAGATGCAGTTCAAAACCACACTCCCTTTCTTTAGCAAATTCATTCAACGACCAGGCTGCTAATTTAACATTACTCTAAATATGTGCAGTTGCTAAGCCTTGGCCAATCTTGTTGTAATCTTTATTAGGCTTACGTTTCAAATGATTCCCGTTTGTCAGCGCCTGGAAAGTGAGGATTAAATGCTTGCCCTCCAACTGTTATCACGCAGTAAAAGCGAATTGTAAAAGTTTATAGGCAGCTTACCAGACTTGCCAGATTTGGACTGCAAGCCACCACTGACATACGTTGAATGACTAATGAGCCACAATCCCGAGTATAGACGGCATTGGCCAAAACCGCCCAACTTCAGAAACTGCGCGAGTTCGTTATAGAGATGCAAACCTCTCTCCTATTTATTATCATATTCCTGGCGGATTTCCAAAAAAATTCAATGTTTTACGCGCTGTTACCTCCGATTCTTCAGACTTGATTGAAAAAAACATCGGTTCCATCAATTTTTGCAGAGATTCACCTACGAGGCTGCCAGGGCACAGAAGTAGGTGAGCATGCTTATCACAAAAAATGTTTTTCAAAAATATTATTGAGGGCCGGGTGGAGCCTAGTTTGCCGGCTAGTATTATATAAGTATTGATATACATAACGAGTCACAGCATTAGCATCGTAGCACTCCAGGCTATAGAAAATCTCTGTTGAGAGAAATAATGTGCAACAGAAAGACCTCGGTCTCGATTAGAATGAATAAAGAATGAACAAAACCATCGAGAAGATAATTGAATGTAATCAAAGCATGGGATGAGTAAAGAACATCCCTTCAAAAAAGCGAGACCACCAAATGGTGAGAGTATCTCTTAATTGATCAAGGAAACACCGCAGAGTACTTCAAAAAATGATTATATCTTTTCTACCTTCTCAGAATAGATGAAATCATGAGTGCGATCCAGTTTCATTCTCAGGGAGCTGTGTACAGAGACATAATCACCCTCCGCCAAGCGATTTCTTCGTTGTCACTGAAGAAGACTTGTTATTTTTATTTTTATTTTCGATGCACCTATGCTCTGCTAATTCTGCTATTTGGAGCGGTTATAAAATAACACAATGCAACAGGATACCGTATTGTTAGTAACAGTAACTGGAACAAAAAAGTCCACTCCCAGGCATGAAATGAAGCTAGCTAGAAAACGAAAACTTCGGCTACTACCAAATCAGACAGAAAAATTACGAGAATCGCGTACAAGGAGGCAAAGGACGTCTTGCTCGTACCAGCCAGCAACGTACGTCCGGTCACAATGTAAAATTGTGCCTTTGGAATTTGCATGGAGCTTCGGATTACTGGTATACTGGCTGAGCTCCAAGTAGAACCATGCGAGCTGAGCGAAATGTCTTGTATCAAATGCTGGGAAGACAAACTAATACTCAAGATCTGGTAATTGCGTACCACCTAGCCAACAGCAGCAATTATAAAAGACAAAAAATGCGCAACAGATTATACCAACAGATGATAACTGACTGGAATAGAAGACAAATTACACAACGTCGTCTACTCCACATAATTGCAATACCTACTTTCTTTAGCAATGCTTTCATGAGCTGCTGAATTCATGGCTAAGAATGACGGTGGAAACTTGTTCAATATATTAGACTGTAAAGAAAGTTCCCGGGCATTTGCGAAATTTTTTTTAAATCGCTGTAACTTCGAGCAGATTGATCCCTTTTCAGTGCTACAAATTTCATTGCAAAGAAAATTTTGTCTACAACATATATTTGTCGTGCTGGCTTTTCATCACCTCATAGCGGTCCACTAACATGTGCAGAAGGGAACAAGGTCGACGCGAAAAGCGGCCTATTTGTGCAGGATTGCCTCATGCAGGATAACAGCTGGAGACCCCAGATGCTGTAGTTATTAGGTCGTCCCGAAAGTTCTTTCGCACCAAATTCAAAAATTCATAAGTAGTTGATTTCTCAACGAATTTACAAGGTTTAAATTTTGTATAAGAGAGAAACTCATGTTCTTTGCACCTGTATTTGAACTGTTCGTTAATGTGTACAAATGAAGGAGATAGAAGCTCAAAACCAAAATCACTCAAAATTTGAATTTTTCTTGTAGGGTCATGAAAAATCGAAAACTTGCAACAAAAATCGGAGCAGTCGGTATTGTAGGTTCTTTCACCAGCTCTTTTTAACGGTGCAACGTTTGCGCCGATTGAGCGTCTCTATGAAAAGTTACGATTTTCGAGCAAGCAATGCAAAAGGGCGATTTTGATTTATTTTGGCATTTTTCAGGGAAATCGTAACTCATAGAGACGATCAATCGGCGCAAACGTTGCACCATTAGAAAGAGCTGGGGAACGAACCTACAATACAGACTGCTCCGATTTTTACTGCAAGTTTCCGATTTTTTATGACCCTACACGAAAATTTCAAATTTTAACTGATTTTGGTTTTTAGCTTCTATCTCTTTCAGTTGTAAACATTAACGAACAGTTCAGAACTAATGCAAAAAACATGAGTTTTCTCTTATGCAAAATTTAGATCTTGCAGATTCGTCGAGAATTCAACAAGTTATGAGTTTTTGAATTTAATGCGAAAGAACTTTCGGGACAACCTAATTTATAGAAGTCTGTTTGGACTGTTATGAGGACCATTCATGTTTTTGAGAGACCACCTGCAGAAAAATTTTTCTCCAGAAAGTTTGAAAAATCGACCATTTTTGCCCCCAAAAATGCACCATTTTTTGAGTAAGTCACCTTAAAGTTTTCTCGTTCTGCACACGGCGGATCAAACCTTTTATTACTGCGAACATTGTTGGGGTAATACCTTACATATCTTTCAAACCCATCACCCAAGCCCGGCGACCCCTGCAGAAGCGACGTCAGCAACGAAAAGAGTTGCAGTCAGAGCAGGGCCCGGCACGAGTCGGTTTCTGAGGTTACTGGAAACGAAGTCCCCTGATCTCTAAAAATTTTACAAAGTCCCCCTTGACTCTTGCTGTGCCCCCCCTCCCTTCCACCCTCTAACTCTCAGCGGATGAAATTGAACCAATAATTTTACAAAAATTCTTTATTCATAGGCTTCAAAAACATTTTCAAATTTTTCATTTTCAATTTCATTTTCAAATTTTCATCAAGTTCATTTTCGAAAACATTTTGCTTAACAACAAAAATAAACATACAAAAAACCTGTGGTGGTATGGAAACTACCGAATCCGATTTTCAAAATGCTAATGTGGGTAGTTTTAGGAGATTGACATCACAACATATTTAGGTTGCTCAACAGAATGAGGAACTGAAGCAACAGTCTGTGACTATTTTTGAAACAAAGTAAAGCTAGCACAATCAATCTAAATGGATGATGCTGATCTTTATTGTAATAGTCCAATCGAGATATCTGTCCCTTTACTTACGGTAAAAATGCCACTGAGTTGAGAAGTGCCGATTCTTCCAAATTACCACCTTCAACTAACGCACAGGGCTGATCTGATTGTGCTAAACGAAAACTTTGCTTTTCATCAAGGGAAGAAATCTAAACAACAAAGTTAGTCCTACCTCTGACTGCATGTACACGGACAATTCTGAAATGATCACCATGATAAACTGGTGCAGCTGAACTCGTAGCGCAAGACGCAGATGGAGCTGAAAAGTTGGTCTATATCTAGTCTAGCTTCTTAGCTCAATTCTTTTTACAAAAAAAATTATATGAAACTACATATTTTTCAATAAACTTTCGCTGAGACTTAATTTCGCGCAAAAAGTGTTAGATTCTTCTGTGTTACTAGTAGCATCTAGATTTTGGTCACCCAGCTCGTGCAGAGGTCTCAATATTTAGGATAAAAAATAATGATGATGTAGTAAAAGAAAGAATACTGGGAATACAGGTCATAACCTTAAGGTTACGACCTGTATTCTCATGAGTAAGCGCTATTTGAGCCAAAAAATTCTACTTTTTGATGCGACGCTTACTTAAGCAATTGAAATAGACTTATTAATCAAACTATGATGTCCTAATTACAAGATAGTCCGAAGACTTCTGAATGGCAGTGAATGTTGATGGCCTCGCACAGACAGAAAACAGCTAGTCCGATAACATTAATTTGTTTTAACGAAATCAGCAGCAATTGATCTGATTTCCGAAGTGTAAAAACAAAACTTAGCAAAAGATAAACACAGAAGACAGTAACTCTCTTTTCAACTCTAAACAAGTCAATTCCTACGTAGACATAAAGAATGATTGCGGTAACGATGATCTGTACTTTTGAAGAGGACTATACCATACACAGCTATTTGAGATAAACACATCAGAGCTCAAACACAGACTTGAAGAATACACGCACGCAGCTTCAAAAGAACATCAATAATACCTTTGATTGTCACTCAGTTCAACCACGCGAGCCTTCTTCGTAGGCGGAGATGAAGCGGACACGTCTTTAGAGGATAGCTCAGCGAGAATGGTACTCATATCTTCAAACTCTGTAATTATATATCCTCAAAGTCTGTAAATATATTCAATAAAATTATCCCGCCATGTGAAAGTAAATGACTTAACAAAATACAGACAGTCTTCCCCCCCTCCCCGCCCTCATCAGTGATCGACGATCCCCTCATCAGAAGACACAAGGCTCATTTTAAAACATCAACTAACTTAATGAGGGAAGTCATAGCTTATGACAATCGAGTTGGTAATAGCTGTCATTGCTTGTTCGTTCAGTCTATGTAGAACATAGCTTTGCCACAGATGATCGAGATTTCGAGAGACGCAGGAGAGGAAAAACGTATAATCGAGAACATTCACAACAGTGATTAAGTCCAGGCATGTTTCTAGTTTTACCCACTGGTCTAATTGTGGGAACAGGCGAGCAATTTTGAGAGTCTATAGTTCTGACCTAAACGCTGAATTTTGACCTTCAGTGGTTTGTAACTCTCGTTCCTGGTCTTTTAAGCAAAAGAGACATTGTTGCTGAAAATGAGGACCTCGCAAACACATAACCAATTATTGGCCGTCATTGGTTCATCATGATAATTGAACCTCAATTCTGAGTATTTTTTAAAGTCTCAGTTTCAGCATATGCGAGTGTGCCTCGAGATCAAGAAGGTTGGAGGGGGGGGGGGGTCAGTGACTTTTTAACCCCTTTTTGAAAGAAGATATCTGAGCTTTGCGACAGCCAACGACAAAAACTTCCGCATACAGTATTTACAGAATGTTTGAGCTTTATGCGCGTAGACAGGGATTTTGAAGACACAAAGTGCAGGTGTGAACCCATTTTAACTTCTGAGTGCATTCATTAGGTGGACTTAACCACTTTACGTTGGGTTCTATAATACAAGACAGCAAAGAGCACATTTCAACAAAGTCACAGAGAGTAAATACCACGGTTTCCTGATAAGAAAACAGCTTGATGAATAAAAAGATCGTAGGCGAAAGAAACGAAAGAAATGAATCAAAAGGGACGTATCGGCTTTGCAGCCTCTCACTCACCTCAATCGAGAAATGTTTCCATCACGTTGTCTGATGGCACGGTCGCGTCGTCAACTTCCTTCAACAGACTAGAAACGAATGTTCAGCATTCTTCATTCAGCTTGAATTCGGGCAGATCTACTTTATGAGTGCGAGGTGATGAATAAAAAAAATCTGAACACAATGAACAGAAACACAGAAACTTCGCAATCACAGCTGAAACTGAAATGGAAATTCAAAGGGAGAGGTCGCAGAAAAGCTGGCGCTGGGGCGCGATATCTAACAAGGCGAGTTGCAGAAAAAAAAAGAGGGTAAAAAAGAGCGACAGGGAGCAATATAAAATTGTTTCTATGCTCAGGGATAGATTCTTGACCGGGGCATCCGTCCATGCTAAAAAAAATCCGAAACTTATGTGAAGTGACGGAAATATATGCTCCAGACGATCTCAGATCGTTTGGTGGCCGTCTGGAGACGATCTAATTTTGGAAAAAGTTTTACTTCACATAAGTTTTCAAATCTTCTTACATAGTTCTTCGGCAAATAATTTCTGTGTATATGGTTCAGTTTTGGTGTCATATGAGTCTGTGTGCGCTGTAAACAAGCAATTTGTTTACTTTAGTCTTGCTTACAAATCGCGCGCACTTTTCGCCATGCAAGATAGAGCATGTCAATCGTGTGATAACCTGTCCAAAAAGCTTGTGTTCGACCAAATGGCGCTTATTCTTTGTGTTCGGCCCCGACTCGTCAAAAACGATATCGCCTTTGCTGTTTGCTTTAAAAACGAAGTCCAGCCTGCTTCCAAACGATCTGCGCCGGCCCCTAAGTCAGAGGCGAGCTTGACAGCATGTAATTTCTGAGGTACAAATCGCACTCGAGTGCAACTGCGGGCTTGAAATTAACAGGTCCGTCAATCAGATCAATCACGATTTTGACGAAATTCTTTGAACTACGCAGAAAAATGGTCACAGGAAGAAAAATTGCGAAATTTTCATGGTTGGAAAGATCTCCTTTTTGATGTGCAGATCAAATATATTTTGGAATCAATAAAAATCAGAAGCGGGTGTAAAAAGTTCAGGCTTCCCTCTACTGAAAAGTATAAAAAAATCTGGTGCCAAAATTCGACCGAGCGCCAGAAAAAAGCGTCAGAAAATGAAATTTCCAAAAGTGCCCGGGAACTTTCTTTACAACCTAATAGAAGCTGATCGATAAAAGAAATTGTTGGACTGTAACGAATGTACCTTCCGAAGCTGGAAACAGACAGGTTAAGAGATGCCCTGCGTTCACTGGTAGGTCGAAAAACCCTGTACTTACTGGGTCTCAAACCTACCTCGGCCAGCAGCACTTCCAAAGACGTAAGAATTTTAGAAAAACAGAAAACCTCCTGAGAAAAGCGTTTCGAGACCTAATTTACAGATTCTTTATAGTTTGGCAAAGCGGAAGGATATTCTGGATTGGGGAATTAAAATAGAACCTTTGTGAATGTTCTTCGGATTCTCTCGATCTTATCATGTCTTTTTTCAACGTAGGATTCCATACAAAGCTGCAACTACCACTGGCAGAACAACAGTTTTATAGATTCTGAACCTCTGGTTCAAATCATGGCAACGTAAATAATGGCAACGTAAACAACCTACGGTTGAGAGGATTCATCCACGTGAAACATCGAAGGTTTAACAATGTATTTTACGACCAAACATTGAAGCTTTCCGAAAAACAAAGTGTGCAAAATAAGAGCTTGCAGCGGTTTTTGTAGAGTCATAAAGGCTAAAAGCCCCATTCCCTTCTCTACCACCGTAAATTTTCAAGCGTCGTCTTTTAGGTCCACTGGAGCCGGAATTTATACAGAAAGCCCTCTCCTGCACGCTGGTCGCTTCGTCCAGGATTTCTTCCCTCCCAAACCAAGTTAAGAACAAATCCCAGATTTAAGATCAACTGTTGGCAAATTCAAAGGCCATAAAGTTACGTATCTCTCCCCTATGTGCTCTGGGAGAATTCTTAGATTTTCATTGCGTCCACTTCGGCGATTCATTTGCATCAAAAAAGTTTGAAGGCTTCTGGTGGATCAGTGATCTGGAAAAAAGTAAATCGCTCACTCACTCTTGAGACTACACCTTCGAAAATCAATGTTCATCCTTTTGGGATGCCACTTAGCGGTTACAGTCTTTATCATAGTGTGTTTAGATTTCGTAGACCCTTTTACCGACTATAACAGAGCGGCTGTTAAGGCCCACTCTCGGTTGATGTCGCATAATTCATACTCTCGTCCTGAAGAAAAAACCTATCAGGAAAGGTCAAGACACTTACTCCATTGAGAATAAATGGTGGCAATAAATAAAGAATGACAAAGTCAGCTGTTCTTGCAAGCTTTGAATTCGTCGCAATTAATCTTCCCTAAATCTAGTTTATCTGATAATGTTGCATCACGATACTGTAATATAATAAGGCCCACTCTCGGTTGATGTCATGCCCTCCTCCTTTTATTGGAGGAGAGCTTTGGCAAATGCACGCCTCCTTCGTCAGACAGTTCATTCCAACGTGTACATACGAAGGAGTATGACAGAGGAGGAACGTAAGCGCGAATATGACCTAAGGCAGGAAGCACGTGAGAGGAACAAAGGGAAATCAGATCGGGAGTGGGTAGTATACAGAGGGCAAGTTATCAGAGTATCGGAGATACCCGTAAAGAGGTCGGGAAACCAATGATCCAGCATGGTATGCGAGATAGAATAAAGATTACTATGTTAAATGCCAGAAGTCTTGTAAATAAACTGCATCACCTTCGAGCCTTTTTGATAGAGAATAAACCCGACATACTTTTTGTAACTGAAACGTGGTTAACGAATAAGATGAAGAAAGATAGTGAAATTGTGGGGGAGTTGCCTTATTTGGTTTTATGTTCAGATAGACGAAGCCGTAAGGGAGGCGGTATTTGCTGCCTATCTAAAATGATTCTCCCAGTGAAATCATTCGTATCTGATAGTAGCACTATGTCTAATATCCTTTGTATCGATGTAACCTCACGACAACAGCCTACTTGTATGCGTTTTATCGCAGTCTACCGTCCACCAAATAGTACTACTTCAAGCGACTATAAGTTGATTGAACTATTATGTAATTTTGTGAGTGAAAATGAAAATACAATTCTTTTAGGCGATTTTAACTTACAAATTGATTGGATCAATAAATCTCCTCTCAACAAAACTTCTGAAACTTTTTTTGAATTCTTTCGTCACTCTGGCTTCACACAGTATGTCCAAGAACCAACACACTGCAACCATATTCTGGATCTTGTTTTGTCTACTTCTTCTAATATCTCTGAAATTCTTACTATGTCTCCTCTCGCAACTTCTGATCACCGAATAGTTCAATTTTTTGTTTCTATAAAAGCCTTCACCCCTAATGTACTGCCTCGACCCGACTTTCGAAAGGTTGACTACGTTTCTCTCAACAGCTACCTTGCCAATATTGATTGGCTAAGCTTGTTTGATCAATACTGGTCCGCTGATGACGTTTACTACAGATTTTGCACCTTTATGTACAAGACCTTCTCGGAATTTGTTCCCTTCTCTATGGCCCAACCTCATTTGCAATACCCTAATCATATACGAAAACTTCTTGCGCAGAAAGAAAGGTTATTCAATAACACATCAGATCCTCTATCCAATACCATGTACAAGAAGGTATGCAAAGATGTCGACTACCATCTAAAGAGATATCTATCCAATCGAGAACATAATCTGGCCAAAAAAGCAAACTCCAAATTCTTTTTTGACTACATAAATCAAAAAATCAAGCCTAATCGTCATCTGCCGACCATAACTGACCAAATGGGCCGCACCTATCACACGAATGCAGAGAAAGCACAAGCTTTAGCGCGCTATTTCGCTGCTATTTTTGACTCCAGTGATCAAGCTGAACGCATAAATTGTACTGCACCCATTTCTACTGGTTACCGGTCTTTATCAAACGTTCACTTTAGTCCTTGGGAGATTCAGAAGATTTTGGCCGGTTTATGCCCATCTCTCAGTGAACCGTTTGATGGAATCCCACAAATTGTTTTTAAGAAATGTGCCTCATCTCTTTCTATTCCTCTTGCGCATATGTTTAACATATCGATGATGCTTGGTGAGGTGCCGCAAATCTGGAAGGAGGCAATAGTCACTGTGATTCCTAAGTCTCCAACGCACGCCTTCTTTCAGATTTTCGGCCCATCAGTCTGACTCCCACAGCCGTAAAAGTAATGGAGAAAGTTTTGCGTAACAGAATACTCTCATGGCTTGGAAAAATTAACGTGATCCCTATGAATCAACACGGTTTTATGGAAGGGTCATCTACAGCCACTAATCTTGTAGACTCAGTTTTTGATTGGAATTTAGCACTTAATATTGGGAATTCCATTGATGTGATCTACGTTGATCTTTCCAAGGCATTTGATAGAGTTCATCATGGAAAGCTTTTGAACAGGCTGGAACACATTGGTCTAAAAGGAAACATATTGAATTGGTTAAAGTCATATTTGCACAACAGAGGCATGACCGTCAAGGTTGAACACCACTTTTCTGATCGACATCCCTGCACAAGTGGTGTTCCACAAGGAGCAGTCCTTTCTCCATTACTCTTTCTACTATACACTGCTGAACTTCCATCTATCTTGAACACATCCATACATCTGACAATTCAGATGTATGCTGATGATATAAAGATATATGGAAGTTATAGTAATGAAAATAAACTACAGGTTCGTTCAGCAATACGAGCGTCTCTTGGAAAAATGATGAACTGGGCTGCTCTCTCTGGTATACCTGTGAACCTAGAAAAAAGTTTTGTAATGCATTTTGGAGATGAAGACCTGCCAATTTATGAGATAAATGGAATCAAATTGAAAAGCTGCTCCATTGCCAAGGACTTGGGTGTTCTTGTAGATCCCGAATTAAAATTTACTAATCATATTGAACATGCAGTCAACAAAGCATTTTCAGTGTTGTTTGCTATTTTTCGAAATGTCCATACTGAAAATCCTCTGATTCTCAAACGGCTTTATAATGCTTACGTATTACCTCATCTAGAATACTGCTCTGTTGTTTGGAGTCCTTTTCTCAAGAAAGACATACGAAAACTAGAGAAAGTTCAACAAACGTTTACCCGAATACTATAAATGAGGTGCCGACGA